TCTTTCCCTGTAGTGCTCCTCCTCCCCACCCCTGAAGACTCCGCCCCTCCTACCTCTTCTGTGACTGTTAGCTGAACTTCCCACAAAACCCTGGCTCAACCCTACAGGGTCGCAGTTATTTTAATGGCCAAGAACCAAGAGGTTACTGTTCTGTTGCAAAAACACCATTAACTTAAGAACGAAGTGAAATCCATTATGCAAATACAGTTGGGGCAGCTAATTACAGATTTATTCAGGGACAGCTAATGCACCCCACATCCAAATAAAGGAGCAAGTCTTGCTGAAGGGTGGCCTGGCAGACAGACCTTTCTCTGTCAGTTGGCTATGAACATTGCTGAGTGTTTTGGGCAAGAAGAATTTCCTGAGGCCTTGGAGGGCACATTCCCTCCTAGCAGATGAAGAAGATGGTTCTGGAGTCAGACTTGGGTTTGGTTTTTGTACTTCACCTCTCACCAGTTCTGTTATCTGAGCAAAGTTTTTTTTTTTTTTTTTCCCCTTTTCTGGGCCTCATTTCCCCCATAGGGCTTTGCAAGGATTAAATGAGACTTTTATAAAACACTTGGCATAGTGCCTAGCACCTTTCAGTAAGTGGCAGGCCCTTCCCCCTGTTCTGGGTCAGCTGTATCCTGGCTTCATTGAGTGATGGAGGAATATGGGCAGGAGGGGACAGATGGGAGGCAGCCACTATGACATGAAGGGGAGTAGCTGCCGGAGAAAGGAAAGGGACGCTTGGGTAGAAGAGTCTCACAATCCCCCAGTCTTTCTCTGTGTCGAGAGGACAGGAATTTGCAAGGGTTTTGGAACTATTCAAGCCTGGCTCTAAAACTCAGCTCTGACACAGTTATGTGGCTTGGGGCAAGCTCTGTAACCTCGGTGGCACTCAGTATTCTCCTCTGTGAAGTAGGGGGAGTAGCACCTGTCCCGCGAGGTGAGCTGTAATGGGTTAAGAACAGTAACTGGAAAATCAAGTATCCTCATTGTATATTCAGTGCTTATTATCAGAAACTAGGGGCTGCTTTTGTTTGCTTGTTTACATTTTTTAATTTACTGGAGGATGTGCACTTGGGGGAGAGACAGAGAGGGCAAGTGAGAAAGAAAGCACACCCTGTGGAATATGGTCACACCGTAACTGCTTGTCCTTCACTTCTCTCTCTTATTTTGGGATATTGGGCATGCACACACACGTACCCAGTGTGTTTCTGAAGCTCTGGGTCTGGAACTTGAACAAGGCATTGGTCATGTGAGATCTAGCTGCATTAACCACTAGGCTACAGGCTGGCCCTACGGGCTATTCTAAGTACCTGTGTGTGTGTGTATATACATATATGTGTGTGTATATATATATATATAAAAATGTGTGTATATACATATATATAAATAATATATTATAAGATACATACACATCATAAATATATATCATATATATTTATAAATATAAATATTATATCATATACCATATATTATATAATATGTAATGTTTATATTTATAAAATATATAT